ATTCACGATGCACTCATAACAATAAACTTGAATTTCCACATTACCTTGCAAGTTAATACAACGAACGAGAAGTTTTATCCAGTAAATATCATTACCGAAGCTATAAGTATCAGAATTTGTGCAAGTAACCCTTCAGCCTAATAACACTTCCAGGACATGTCCATAAATACTGTCTTTATGCTTCTTTTTAGACGATTCATTTCGTTACCAACTGTTGATCTTGCGAAATCTGTTCTTAAAAACTTACTAGACTTCCATTATCGGAACATTGGTATTGAGTCAATCTACATATAGCAAGTTTACCAATAACTAATTTACATTTGATATAGTTAACTTGTAAATTATATAATGAATTAGTCCAATGTGTTCAATAAAGTATGCGAGAATGATAACTTACTTCAAAGAAAACAAAGGTTTTTCTTAGAATCAGGCAAGGCCTTAAGTGAACAATACTTGATGGTTCGTTATTCTTACATAATTACCATGCTATGTATATCATCCATATCGTCATCCTTGTTTTTACTTCCCCGTTCTTGAATTGTTATATTGAGATCACACATCTGATACCAAGCTGAAAAGATTATGAATCGATCTGGAGCATAACATGGAGGTAGAGATTGAACAATATATAACATAATTATTTGATTGGTCATCGGTCTGGTCTGGTCTGGTTTAGTAATAGGAATCGACTAAATTTTTTAGTCAACTAATCTGTCGATTAATTTATGACTAATCGTATAATATATTTAAATCGTGATAGGAATCGATTAAGTCAACCAATCCCAATCTGAATGTTGATATATTTCTCAAGAAATTCGCTCATAATTTGTGTTCGTTTATAATCTATCTCGGATCATTTTGGATGATTGTCATTCTTACTTTTAGTGATTTTTAGTCGACTAATAAAAGTTAGTTGACTAGTTGATTTTAGTCGACTTAGTCAATTAATATTTAGTCGATTCCTATCACTAGTCTGGTCTACACCTAATCATATTCATCGAAGATTTGATGAATGTATTCGGATATTTTATGTATATAATTATATCATTTACAACAAAATTCGAAGTCGAGACTTGAACTAAAAGGCCAGATAAAATTATAACTATGCCTTGACGACCACATTTGCAAATAAAATTATAACTATATTTTGATGACTAAATTTACAAATAAAACATTCACAAAATAATAAATAATTTTATTATTGTATTGTTAAAAATTTTATAATCTTAACTTGAATAGACCTTTGTATTAATTTTAATCATTAACATTATAATAAAAATTAAACAATAATCTAATTATTACCTATAGCTTCTAAAAAAACAACAATAATAATAAAATAATAAAAATAGAGTTAGCTATAAACATAACCATAGTAAATACAATACAAGTAACAAATAAGTAATGAAAGAGATTGGTAAAAAAATAGCTTTAGTTATTCTCTGCATAGCCACAAAGATCACCAAATACATGAAGAATAATTTCTTAGAATGATCGATTCTGCAAGGAATTTTAAAAACCCTTTACTGTTATAAGAAAACTTAACTCTAACTTGAAGAATAGATATCTTAGTGATCATTACATTATATAAATTATATAATGATGTTATTTGTTTATTCACACCAACAAATCAGCCCAAATTATACTACAGTCAAACCTTTATAAATGCAACCTTCTTAAATAGATGTTCTATAAAAAACCTCTATAAATATATGGTCTTGCAATATCTTTTTTATATATATACTTATAAATTTTTATATTCCTAAATGCAATACTTTTCTAAATGCAAGATTTTTTAAAATTTCTATATAGATTGTATGAATTGCATTTAGAGAGGGTAGACTATATATCTAGTAATAGTATCTGATCGAAAAAATATTACCCAGTTATCTGATAGATATATCTGATAAGTTACTTGAGTGATTAACAAATTTATCTAGCTATAAAATCCTACCTGATATGTTCAAGTAAGGTTAATTAAATATTTTTACTTTATTAAATAGCTGTATAACATTATTGCGTAAAATTAGAAACAGAAAATTTAAAACAAGAAAAAAGCTAGATAAATTATAAGAATTTGTATCTAACTAATTACTTTATTCTTTGACTAATTATTTTTAAATCAATCAATATGTTTATTTATACTGATTTTTATCAATATGCAATATATCTATTAAGTAATTATTGTCACGGATTATTGTGAAATCGGATTATTGTGAAATTTGGATCTATTTTATGTACG